AGTTCCTGAATAGCTGTACTGTTACCAATAAATGTTCCTGACATCTTCAGACCTCTTGGTGGAATATCACAGACAGCTGTTTTTACGTTGTTGGGAATCCATTCAACAAAGTAGCTGCTGTTTTTATTCTGAACGTTCAGCATCTGTTCATCCACCTCCTTCATGGACATACGACCTCTGAACATGGTAGCTACTGTAAGGTAACGCCCATGTCGAGGATCGCAGGCAGCCATCATGTTCTTGGCATCAAACATCTGCTGTGTGAGTTCGGGTACAGTGAGAGCTCGGTACTGCTGGGAACCACGAGAGGTGAGGGGAGCAAAACCTGGCATAAAGAAATGTAGACGTGGGAAAGGTACCATGTTGACAGCAAGTTTACGTAGATCAGCATTCAGTTGACCAGGGAATCGTAGACAGGTGGTCACCCCAGACATGGTGGCTGACACCAGATGATTGAGGTCACCGTAAGTAGGTGTGGTCAGTTTGAGGGTACGGAAACAGATATCATAGAGAGCCTCGTTATCAATACAGTAGGTCTCGTCTGTATTTTCTACCAGTTGATGAACTGAGAGTGTAGCGTTGTACGGTTCAACAACTGTATCTGATACCTGAAATTATAAATACAAATAAAAACAGTCAATACGATGGTTAAACAGAGGGCACATTTAATTAAGGTAAAATCATTCCTATCCAAAAAGAAATGAAGCTGAAATGGGGTTAAACGTCCTACTGTTCTACTTCGACTAAGCTAATGAATACGATATACGCTATACGGTGTGCTATGAGGGCAATTTTTCCCGGCCCGAACTCTTATATTGAATTTCAACCGCCAAAAGATCTTTTAAGCGCCCTCCAACGTGCACGCAGAACCTCGGTTTTTTGTCCCATCCGAACGACTAGACAGATGTCATTGTCAGGCATTTTTTTAAAAAACGGCATTTTTGAACATGTATTATATAAAAAAAAACATCGTAACAAATATGATAAGCTGTTTAAAGGTATTAAATTTGAAAATCGACTTACCTTAGGTGAAGGACAGACAGAGAAGGTGTTCATGATTCTATCTGGATATTCTTCACGGATTTTACTGATCAGGAGAGTTCCCATACCAGACCCAGTTCCACCACCTAGGGAATGGGTCAACTGGAATCCCTGTAGACAATCACAGCTTTCAGCTTCTTTACGGACCACATCTAAAACAGAATCAACCAACTCGGCACCTTCTGTATAATGACCTTTAGCCCAGTTATTACCAGCACCACTCTGACCAAACACAAAATTATCTGGACGGAAGATTTGACCAAAAGGCCCCGATCGTACAGAATCCATGGTACCGGGTTCCAAATCGACGAGAACAGCTCTGGGTACATATTTCCCTCCTGTAGCTTCATTATAATAAACGTTGATTCTCTCCAACTGAAGATCAGAATCACCGTGATAAGTTCCAGTTGGATCGATACCATGTTCATCAGAGATTACTTCCCAGAACTGAAAGATAAAACGCCATAGTGTTAGAGTTTCGTATTTAAGTAAACATCAGTTCCGATATATGCTATTGGCTATTACAGTGGATAGCTTTGCAAATCACGGCCCGGTTATGCGAAATGAAATGAAATGGGCTTTAACGTCCTACTGTTCTGCTCCTATACCGGGCTAATAAAGACGGGCATATGCCATACAGTGTGCTATGAGGGAAATTTTGCCCGGGCAGCGCAACAATGGCCTAATCTTATATCGAATTCCAACTGCCAAGGGATCTTTTACATGCACGCCAATGTATACGCGGGAACTCGGTTTTTCGTCCCACTCGAAGAACTAGACAGCTGTCCCTGTCAGGCCCTCCTTCCTTCACTACTGACAAGGGTAAACAACGTCGATGAACTTTCTAGGCCAATGAAGGGATCGAACACCCGACCTCCAGTTTAGCAAGCCAGCGTCTTGCCCACTTAGCCACCGTGGCTCCCTGGTTAAGCGATGCGTACAACAGAAATAATTGCAACTTAGCGTTGACCAGAAAGGAAACATATATCATAAACAATTTACTTTCAAAGGCTGTCGCATATTTAACTTACCTTAGCTCCGATCTGGTTGCCACATTGGCCAGTTTGCATATGAACGATTTCTCTCATGTTGAAAGTTTAAAGGGTTAACTGTAGAAGACAGAAAGTGAATGTTAAAGATAGACTCGAAATTAACTTATATACATATATTTCATGTCACGTGTCACCAAGGACAACATTGGTGTTAGGTTGATAAAGTAGATAATCCAATAGTAGTGAGGGGATTAACAAATTACCAAAATAGAATGGGATTAATCAAGCACTCCTTTACGAATGGTATTACTTGCAAATGTGATTTACATGTTAAAAAGTCCCATTGAGAATATTTAGACCAATGATAGGTGACAGGAAAGCTTGGGTGCCGAATATGCTAATGGGCTTACCAGTAAAATTCGCCACCAATTCGCAATACTTGCAAGTTGATTACCAGATATTCGTAGGTGTTCGCGAGTGTTCGAGTGGTTTTGATTACTGGGCCCTGTTTCTCGAAATCTTAACTAGAGATAAAATCAAAATTTTAGTAGATACTAAACACTAAAATCAACCTAATTTTATCCAATCAATTTACTTAAATATGGATTTTATCTTAGTTCAAATTTCGTGAAACAGGCCCCAGGTCTGTCATTGGGCTAAGTGGTTTGGTATCAAGCTTGTACGTGACAACGGTTAGGTTACCCGCTTAACATCGTGGGTTTTCTACGGGTCCTTGGGTTTCGTCCCACTGCTAAATACCCCTACGTACAAGTGAATTATTGAAATAAAATTGAGTCAGAGGTTAGTCCCGAAATGTTCTAGTATATACGTGTAGTTTCTGTCAAGTGGACGTTAAACCCCCAATATCTCTCGTGTAGAATGTGTAGTCATAGCCTATCTAACATTCAAGTTCATTCCTTTGAAGTAGGAAAATTATCCAAACATTTTGTACTGTGAATCAAAGGGACAACATTACAATCTTACTGGCAAAATGAAAACCATACGCAATCAAACGATATCCTACAAAGATATCCAACGAGAATTATTGAAATCTTTTAAGTCAGGCTTAAATGTCTACCTTATAACTGAGAACAACTGGCGTATCGGCACCTGAGAGCAACTGGCGTTTCGGCAACTGGGAGCAACTGGCGTTTCGGCAACTGGGAGTTACTGGTAACAACTGAATGCATCTGAAAAAGGTCGACCTGAGTACTGCTTACAACTTAAGGCAACTAGTTTTAGTTCGAGGCGACATCTTAGCTGTTCTAGCAACAAAGCATCGTTACTCTGCCTATATCAAACATATCAATTTAAGCAGCTACAATCAACCATATATTATTTATTATTCTAATGGACATTAAGTGGTTTAAAAGAAGATCGGTGAGAAAATGGAGGGGGGGGCTAATAGAACTCTCAGCCTTGGGGGTCGGGTCATGCACCAAAATCAATAGTGTTGCCGTCCTTATGGTATACCAAGTACCAAGATAATCCATTTAGAATTGTGAACCAATATGGTCCAAGACGATAAACACAAAAAATGGGGCGTGGTTCTGTCCCTGGGGATTGCACGGATGATGGACGGTCCTATATAGATAAGTACAATCCTGTTATTGAAATGATTGGTCATGTCGAATTCGAATAAAATCTGTTAATACTTCCGGCCTGTAAAGAATTAACAGACAAAATAATAACACAGAGTGAGCGCTGCTCCGCCCCTAGGGATTTGGCATACATCAAAACCAATAGTTGCCGTCCTTGTATAAGGAATAAGTTCCAATGCGATCATTAATAAGAATTGCTGCATGTGGGCAACACACAGACACATAAAGAAAAGTGGGCGTGGCTCTGCACTTGCGGGGAAGGCATGCACTAAAACAATAGGGATCATCCTTCGGGTATAAGGAAGTATGCAAAGTTTCAAGACGAGATGTTAAGAATTTCAACCTGTAGACGACACACAGACACAAAAATTGAGCGTGGCTTTACCCATGCACCAAAAATAATAGCGGCCATCCATTATAATAGGGCACAATGAATAAGTATTGTACAACATACCGCGAAACTGACAACTAACGAAGTCTCCTGTGGTCTGATACCTTCCCTTAATTACATTTCCCTCCCTTTATTAATAAACGAATCCGCCTGTAAAACACGTGCAATAAAAACTGGGAGCCATGGCGGCTCGGTGGGTAGGACGCTGCCTGGCTAACCGGGATCCCGTGTTCCATCCCTGTATTGGCCGAGAAAAGTCGGATGCCCTGTGAAGGTAAAACGTATAGACATTCGGACGAAAAACCAAGGTCTGGTATACATATTGGCGTGCACGTAATAGAACCCATGGTTGGATAATCTTGTCTATAATACTGCAGAGACTAACATATGGTTCAAATTTATTTCAATAAAAAACGTAGGCGTCTTTAGCAGTGGGGTAGGGGACCCGGAAAAACCCCCACTCCTAAACAGAAAAACGAATAAAAACGCCCCCCCCCCCTCCAACACACACATAACGCACCTATATAGGGGCGACTTGATAATACGACTACATAGTACAATAAATGAAACGAAATTGTAGTCTAATTTGAATTTGATAGGGGACTGAGAGTGCATTCGTTCTCAATATTCTCAAAATCCTTGAAAGGTTCAGAAAATTGGCTTTCATCCTGGCCTTATTTTTTTAACTTCATCCGGGACAACAACTATTACAATATAAATCAAAATGGTCATGACAAGAATCTAACACGTCGAGTTTCATTTAACAGTAAGAAGTTGAAACCGCTCATCTTTTTACTCCACTTAATTCAAATAAAAAGATTTTTTTTTTATATTTTAATTTATTTATTCATGATTTACATAATACTGTGGTGGCTGATTGGTATCATGCTGTGATGTCGTGGTGTCGCCTTTTATAAGGCGACAACCCGACAACCCGACAACCCGACATCACGGGCGACACCACGACACCCCGACATGATACCAATCAGCCACCATATAATACAGAATAAACATAACAATGATTAAAATAATCTGTAATAATTTAAATATTTCTATAAATAAGATTTGCGTATCTTCTATTTATGTTTCTTCTTCGCCTTCTTCTTCATCAAATTCACCTTCTTCTTCAGCTGTAGCATCCTGGTATTGTTGATATTCAGATACCAGATCATTCATGTTAGATTCAGCTTCCGTAAATTCCATCTCATCCATACCTTCACCAGTATACCAATGGAGGAAAGCCTTTCGTCTGAACATAGCTGTAAACTGTTCGGATATTCTCTTAAACAGTTCTTGAATAGCTGTACTATTACCAATAAATGTGCCTGACATCTTCAAACCTCTTGGTGGAATATCACAGACAGCTGTTTTTACGTTGTTGGGAATCCATTCAACAAAATAGCTGCTGTTTTTATTCTGAACGTTCAACATCTGTTCGTCAACCTCCTTCATGGACATACGACCTCTGAACATGGTAGCTACTGTAAGGTAACGCCCATGTCGAGGATCGCAGGCAGCCATCATGTTCTTGGCATCAAACATCTGCTGGGTGAGTTCGGGTACAGTGAGAGCTCGGTACTGCTGGGAACCACGAGAGGTGAGGGGAGCAAAACCTGGCATAAAGAAATGTAGACGTGGGAAAGGTACCATGTTGACAGCAAGTTTACGTAGATCAGCATTCAGTTGACCAGGGAATCGTAGACAGGTGGTCACCCCAGACATGGTGGCTGACACCAGATGATTGAGGTCACCGTAAGTAGGTGTGGTCAGTTTGAGGGTACGGAAACAGATATCATAGAGAGCCTCGTTATCAATACAGTAGGTCTCGTCTGTATTTTCTACCAGTTGATGAACTGAGAGTGTAGCGTTGTACGGTTCAACAACTGTATCTGATACCTGAAATTATAAATACAAATAAAAACAGTCAATACGATGGTTAAACAGAGGGCACATTTAATTAAGGTAAAATCATTCATATCCAAAAAGAAATGAAACTGAAATGGGGTTAAACGTCCTACTGTTCTACTTCGACTAAGCTAATGAATACGATATACGCTATACGGTGTGCTATGAGGGCAATTTTTCCCGGCCCGAACTCTTATATTGAATTTCAACCGCCAAAATATCTTTTAAGCGCCCTCCAACGTGCACGCGGAACCTCGGTTTTTTGTCCCATCCGAACGACTAGACAGATGTCATTGTCAGGCATTTTTTTAAAAAACGGCATCTTTGAACATGTATTATATAAAAAAAACCATCGTAACAAATATGATAAGCTGTTTAAAGGTATTAAATTTGAAAATCGACTTACCTTAGGTGAAGGACAGACAGAGAAGGTGTTCATGATTCTATCTGGATATTCTTCACGGATTTTACTGATCAGGAGAGTTCCCATACCAGACCCAGTTCCACCACCCAGGGAATGGGTCAACTGGAATCCCTGTAGACAATCACAGCTTTCAGCTTCTTTACGGACCACATCTAAAACAGAATCAACCAACTCGGCACCTTCTGTATAATGACCTTTAGCCCAGTTATTACCAGCACCACTCTGACCAAACACAAAATTATCTGGACGGAAGATTTGACCAAAAGGTCCTGATCGTACAGAATCCATGGTACCGGGTTCCAAATCGACGAGAACAGCTCTGGGTACATATTTTCCTCCTGTAGCTTCATTATAATAAACGTTGATTCTCTCCAACTGAAGATCAGAATCACCGTGATAAGTTCCAGTTGGGTCGATACCATGTTCATCAGAGATTACTTCCCAGAACTGAAAGATAAAACGCCATAGTGTTAGAGTTTCGTATTTAAGTAAACATCAGTTCCGATATATGTTTTGCAAATCACGGCCTGGTTATGCGAAATGAAATGAAATGGGGTTTAACGTCCTACTGTTCTGCTCCTATACCGGGCTAATAAAGACGGGCATATGCCATACAGTGTGCTATGAGGGAAATTTTGCCCGGGCAGCGCAACAATGGCCTAATCTTATATAGAATTCCAACTGCCAAGGGATCTTTTACGTGAACGCCAATGTATACGCGAGAACTCGGTTTTTCGTCCCAATCGAAGGACTAGACAGCTGTCCCTGTCAGGCCCTCCTTCCTTCACTACTGACAAGGGTAAACAACGTCGATGAACTTTCTAGGCCAATGCAGGGATCGAACACCCGACCTCCAGTTTAGTAAGCCAGCGTCTTGCCCACTTAGCCACCGTGGCTCCCTGGTTAAGCGATGCGGACAACGGAAATAATTGCAACTTAGCGTTGACCAGAAAGGAAACATATATCATAAACAATTTACTTTCAAAGACTGTCGCATATTAAACTTACCTTAGCTCCGATCTGGTTGCCACATTGGCCAGTTTGCATATGAACGATTTCTCTCATGTTGAAAGTTTAAAGGGTTAACTGAGAAGACAGAAAGTGAATGTTAAAGATAGACTCGAAATTAACTTATATACATATATTTCATGTCACGTGTCACCAAGGACAACATTGGTGTTAGGTTGATAAAGTAGATAATCCAATAGTAGTGAGGGGATTAACAAATTACCAAAATAGAATGGGATTAATCAAGCACTCCTTTACGAATGGTATTACTTGCAAATGTGATTTACATGTTAAAAAGTCCCATTGAGAATATTTAGACCAATGATAGGTGACAGGAAAGCTTGGGTGCCGAATATGCTAATGGGCTTACCAGTAAAATTCGCTACCAATTCGCAATACTTGCAAGTTGATTACCAGACATTCGTAGGTGTTCGCGAGTGTTCGAGTGGTTTTGATTATTGGGGCCTGTTTCTCGAAATCTTAACTAGAGATAAAATCAAAATTTTAGTAGATACTAAACAATAAAATCAATCTAATTTTATCCAATCAATTTACTTAAATATGGATTTTATCTTAGTTCAAATTTCGTGAAACAGGCCCCAGGTCTGTCATTGGGCTAAGTGGTTTGGTATCAAGCTTGTACGTGACAACTGTTAGGTTACCCGCTTAACATCGTGGGTTTTCTACGGGTCCTTGGGTTTCGTCCCACTGCTAAATACCCCTACGTACAAGCGATTTATTGAAATAAAATTGAGTCAGAGCTTAGTCCCGAAATGTTCTAGTATATACGTGTAGTTTCTGTCAAGTGGACGTTAAACCCCACTATCTCTCGTGTAGAAAATATGTAGTCATTAGCCTATCTATTTGTCTTAGCAAGTCATTTTTTTTAAATGTATGCGTATACTACATGTAGATGTTTAAATTCATTCTTTTGAACATTATCCAAAGATTCTGTAATGTCAATTCTGTGAGTTAATTAAAGGGACAGTATTCCAAACTTACTGGCAAAATGAAAAACGATACGATATCAAACGATATTCTACAAAGATATTTCCACGAGAATTATTGAAATATTTTAATTGGGGCTTAAATGTCTAGCTTATAACTGGGAGCAACTAGCGTTTCGGCAACTGAGAGCAACTGACGTTTTGGCAAACTGGGAACAATTGGCGTTTCGGCAACTGGGAGCAACTCGCGTTTCGGCAACTGGGAGCAACTGGCTTCAACCGAATGCATCTGAAAACGGTCGACCTGAGCGCCGCTTACAAGTCAAAGCAACTTGTAAGCGTGGGGGGAGGGGGCATGCTCTAAGGAATAAATATGCCAAGTTCCAATATTGTCCTAGACGATAAACACGAAAAGTGGGCGTGGCTTTTCCCCTGCGGGGGAGGCGGGGGCTGCATGCACTAAATAGAATATGGATCATCCTTCGGGTAAATTGAAAGGGTATGGAAATTGTCAAGACGAGATGTTAAGAATTTCGTTCTGTAGGCGACACACAGACACAAAAATTGAGCATGGCTTTGCCCATGCACCAAATATAATAGCGGTCATCCGTCATAATAGGGTATAAGAAATAAGTATAAAAGTTGTAACTATATAGTTCCATTAATAACTGAGGAATTGTTCAACATATCACGGAACTGACAACTAACGAAGACACTTGTGGTCCGATACCTTCCCTTAACTGCATTTGCCTCCCTTTATTAATAAACGAATCCACCTGTAAAACATTAGTGCGGGAGCCCAGGGGGTTAACCTAGCTGAAAAGTGTACCAATTTTCTCCTATATGGTATCAATGCATGTATATCTGGTATCATCAGAATGTAAGTCTGTCGGGTTTCTGGTGGTGGGTGTGGTATTCCACGCCCAAAATGCCATGCCCCCCAATTAGGCTAGATTAGCTCAAAAGTGTACCACATGAAAATCGTACAGCAGTGTACCGTACATCTTCAGGTGTTACAAAAACACTCTAACAGACATTATTTCTAGTGGTGGGTTTCCTCTGACAGAGCTATGTAATTGTCAGACATTTGTAGTGGTGGAGTATCCCTGACAAGAGTTTTCTAATTTCCAGACCGCAGCTAGGCTAGATTAGTTGAAATCTGTACCCCCTAAAACAGCTTTGGAGTTGTTCAGTACCACTACAGGAATCATGGAGTCCATGGTGGCTCGTGGGTAGGACGCTGTCTCGCTATCCGGGAGGTGCCGTGTTCGATCCCTGTATTGGCCAAGAAAGATCGGATGGCCTGTGAAGGTACAAGGTATAGTCCTTCGGATGGGACGAAAAACCAATGTCCGTTATACGTATTGGCGTGCACGTAAAAGACCCATGGTTTGATAATCTTGTCTATAATACTGCGGAGACTAACATATGGTTCAAATTTATTTCAATAAAAAAAACGTACGGTAGGGGACCCGGAAAAAAACCCACTCCTAAACACAGAAAAATAATAAAAAGCCCCCCCCCCCAAAAAAAAAAACCACACACATAACACACCCAGATAGGGGCAACTGGATAATACGTCTACATTGTACAATAAACGAAACGAAATTGTAGTCTAATTTGAATTTGATACGGGACTGAGAGTGCATTCGTTCTGAATATTCTCAAAATCCTTGAAAGGTTCAGAAAATTGGCTTTCATCCTGGCCTTATTTTTTTAACTTCATCCGGGACGACAACTATTACAATATAAATCAAAATGGCCATGGCAAGAATCTAACAGGTAGAGTTTCATCTGACAGTGAGGAGTGGAAACGACCCACTTAAGTCAAATAAAAAGATTTTTTTTTTTAATTTTAATTTATTTATTCATGATTTACATAATACAGAATAAACATAACAATGATTAAAATAATCTGTAATAATTTAAATATTTCTATTAATAAGATTTGCGTATCTTCTTTTTATGTTTCTTCTTCGCCTTCTTCTTCATCAAATTCTCCTTCTTCTTCAGCTGTAGCATCCTGGTATTGTTGATATTCAGATACCAGATCATTCATGTTAGATTCGGCTTCTGTAAATTCCATCTCATCCATACCTTCACCAGTATACCAATGGAGGAAAGCCTTTCGCCTGAACATAGCTGTAAACTGTTCAGATATTCTCTTAAATAGTTCCTGAATAGCTGTACTGTTACCAATAAATGTTCCTGACATCTTCAAACCTCTTGGTGGAATATCACAGACAGCTGTTTTTACGTTGTTGGGAATCCATTCAACAAAGTAGCTGCTGTTTTTATTCTGAACGTTCAACATCTGTTCATCCACCTCTTTCATGGACATACGACCTCTGAACATGGTAGCTACTGTAAGGTAACGACCATGTCGAGGATCGCAGGCCGCCATCATGTTCTTGGCATCAAACATCTGCTGGGTGAGTTCGGGTACAGTGAGAGCTCGGTACTGCTGGGAACCACGAGAGGTGAGGGGAGCAAAACCTGGCATAAAGAAATGTAGACGTGGGAAAGGTACCATGTTGACAGCTAGTTTACGTAGATCGGCATTCAGTTGACCAGGGAATCGTAGACAGGTGGTCACTCCAGACATGGTGGCTGACACCAGGTGATTGAGGTCACCGTAAGTAGGTGTGGTCAGTTTGAGGGTACGGAAACAGATATCATAGAGAGCCTCGTTATCAATACAGTAGGTCTCGTCTGTATTTTCTACCAGTTGATGAACTGAGAGGGTAGCGTTGTACGGTTCAACAACTGTATCTGATACCTGAAATTATAAATACAAATAAAAGCAGTTAATACGATGGTTAAACAGAGGGCACATTTAATTACGGTAAAATCATTCATATCAAAAAAGAAATGTAAATGAAATGGGATTTAACGTCCTGCTGTTTTACTAATACAGTGTGCTATAAGGGCAATTTTGCTCGGCCCGGACTCTTATATCGAAGGGATCTTTTACGTGCAATCCTACGTGTATACCAGACCTCGTTTTTTGTCCCATCCGAACGACTAGACAGCTGTCCTTGTCAGGCCCTCCGCCCTGCACCACTGGCAATGGGGAACCACGCCAAAAATCTCGATGAATATTCTCGGCCAACACTGGACGTGAACCCGCGACCTCCAGGATAGCAAGCCAGCATCTTATCCACGTAGGTACGATGGCTCCTCATACCCACAGAGTGACATATGTCGGACTTTTAAATACACAGAGCTTCAATCATGGGTAAAGCTATACAGGATTTTTAAAACGGCATCTTTGAACAGATATATGTAATATAAAAAACATAACAGATATGCAAAGCAGTTTAAGGAAATTAAATTTAAAAATCGCCTTACCTTAGGTGAAGGACAGACAGAGAAGGTGTTCATGATTCTATCTGGATATTCTTCACGGATTTTACTAATCAGGAGAGTTCCCATACCAGATCCAGTTCCACCACCCAGGGAATGGGTCAACTGGAATCCCTGTAGACAATCACAGCTTTCAGCTTCTTTACGGACCACATCTAGAACGGAATCAACCAACTCGGCACCTTCTGTATAATGACCTTTAGCCCAGTTATTACCAGCACCACTCTGACCAAACACAAAATTATCTGGACGGAAGATTTGACCAAAAGGTCCTGATCGTACAGAATCCATGGTACCGGGTTCCAAATCGACGAGAACAGCTCTGGGTACATACTTTCCTCCTGTAGCTTCATTATAATAAACGTTGATTCTCTCCAACTGAAGATCAGAATCACCGTGATAAGTTCCAGTTGGGTCGATACCATGTTCATCAGAGATTACTTCCCAGAACTGAAAGATAAAACGCCATAGAGTTAGAGTTCTGTTTTTAAGTAAACATCAGTTCCGATATATGCTATTGGCTAATACAGCGGATATACAATAGCTATGCAAATCACTGCCTGGTTAAGCGAAATAAAACGAAATGACATGGGGTTTAACGTACTACTGTTCTGCTCCTATACAGTGTGCTGTGAGGGCAATTTGGCCCGGCAGCGCCGTTATGACCTACACTTATATCAAATTTCAACTGCAAAGGGATCTATTACGTACACGGGAACTGGGTTTTTCTTTCCACCCGAACGA